AGACATCATGGCATAACAGTGAAGTGATAATTTATTTAGCTACTTTGTGGATGATTCTATTTCTGAGATAAATGTTGTGTAGACTGGTTATGATGTTAAGGCATGGTATGGTAATTTCATTTCTTCTGCACTTCAACCTCAAGATTCACTTCATAAATTTTTATTTTCTTATATTTCATTTGCAGGGTTGCGATCGATATGGTGTTGGAGAGAATGATTTTGGGGCAGGTATTACATCTCGTACATGATAGAATGTTATGCTGTTCTAATTTCTGTTTGGAAAGAACGGAACTTAATCTTTGTTCTGGCACAGATGTCAATGGTATAAAAAATAGATTGATTAGTTGGTTTCGTCTGTTTATGACGTGTGGAAGTCTGTATGCCTTAGCATTTCCTGCCCCAAAGACAGCATTTTGGAACTTGTGTTTCTGTTGATGAGCACAAGACATGGTTGTATTTCAAATTTTGGGAATAGACTGCTCATAGTTATTTTCTATCCTTACAATGTCATTCCTTTTACCTGATCTTCTATTAACCACTTCGTATGTTCTGCAGGTGAAAGATTTACGTTCTTTCACCTTCGAAGTCAAGCAGAGTTCATCATAATATTCAAAAGAATGTTTTCAATTTGGAAAAATCTAATAAGCTAGAGATAGACTGGTCTAGGTGCAGGTGTTGAAAGGTGCCTAGTTGGCCACCAAGCTATTTTGTGGGCAAACTTCCTTTTAGAAAAAAATTATAGCTTTGTCTCTGTTTTATCTACTACCGACCTTTGTTTTATTTTATATTTCTCCACCTTTCATCTGATTGGATATTGCATCACGTGGTGTTAGTTGCTCTTTGCACTTCTGTTAGTTTAGATGGTGGATTGTTCTCATACATGTTATATTCCTTGTAGCACCTTTGAGGGCACCAAAATGGTACAAGCGTAAAGCAGGAGTCTCATTTGGTTTTGGAGGAAAGCTTGTTGCATTTCACTCAGCTGACTCGTCAACTGGATCGTCAGAGGTATTTCCAATGGGACTTGTTTTAATTTTCCTTAGCATCCAATCACATTTTCCTGATTCTTTCATTTTTCTAGGTCTATGTGCACAACTTAGCTACAGAACATGGTTTGGCAAGTCGATCTTCTGAATTTGAGGCTGCAATACAGAACGGGGAGAGATCATCACTTATGCATTTGTGTGAAAAGAAATCTCAAGAGTCTGAGTATGCCTTATATAAATTGGAACTATGATATTACATTTGAGATAGGTTTGCCATATCCTTTTGCTTCCAATTTTCTCTCTAACCCATTTTATGCTCAGATCTGAGGCCGAGAGAGAGACATGGGGCTTCATGAAAGTTATGTTTACTGATGATGGAACCGCGAGGTCAAAGCTGCTTTCCCATCTTGGTTTCAATGTGCCTGCTGAACAAGATGATAATGAATTGAATGACATCCCTGAGAAAATAAATGATCTTGCTCTAGATGAAAATTTAACAAATAAAGGACTATCCGGGAACAAAGAACCAACTATATTTGCTGACAATGGTGAAGATTTCTTTAACAATCTTCCCAGCCCCAGGGCAGATACACCTTTGTCAACTTCTGGAAATGAATTCATCACCAGCGGCTCTGTTTCTGGTGTCAAAGAATCCAAACAAGAATCGGATGGACAAGAAGAGAGTTCTGAGCCTTCATTTGATGATGCTGTTCAACATGCTTTGGTTGTTGGGGACTATAAGGGGGCAGTTGCACAATGCATTACTGCAAATAGAATGGCGGATGCTTTAGTTATTGCACATGTTGGTGGTGTTCCCTTGTGGGAGCGCACACGTGATCAATACCTCAAGACAAGTCGTTCTACCTATCTGAAGGTGGTCAAAGTTTATTGTTGGATTGGAAATATAAGAACCTTTCTCCATTCCCTTCATGAAATCTGTGTTGATGTAGTGGTGTTATATTTATCATCAAGGGTTGATCAGATATTTTTATATTTCAGGTTGTTTCTGCAATGGTCAACAATGATCTGATGAGCTTAGTAAACACTAGGCCTCTGAAATCATGGAAGGAAACACTTGCTCTCCTCTGCACGGTGAGTCAAAAAATAAAGAAACAAGTTGCTTATTGTGGTTATTCATTTCCCAATTTAGACTGAAGAATAAGCTTGTCATGTTCTTAAGATTAGAATGCTGCTATTGTTGTTATTTTGCTTTGCTGAAGTCTTTGGTTCTCTTCAATCCACCTGCATTTGCTATTGACAAACAGATTCTTTTGGTTTTCAATTATTTTCTACATTTTACTTCCATCTTGTTTGCTCAATCTTTTGCATGAAATACTTAAATTCTTAGTCACCAGGATAGAACGATTAGATTGATTTTATAATGCAAGTATAGTTGTCTATTATGCAGGCATTATACATGTACATGTTATATATTATGCATGCTTTATATAGAAATATGCATACAAGAATTATATAAAACCCCCTATATTTGACTGTGTAAAGGCAGTGGTGCCTGTGCGTTAATAAAAAAGTTCAAATGCAAAACAGACAATCTTCAGTGTTCGTTTACAGTGTTGTGCGACTTTGTTGACTGTATTTCCTTTCCTCCTCGTTGAGGTTTTTAATCGTTGATGTCATACAGTTTGCCCAGCAAGAAGAATGGACTCTGTTATGTGATACACTTGCTTCTAGACTCATGGGTGCTGGTAATACACTTGCTGCTACGCTTTGTTATATATGTGCTGGAAATATTGACAGAACAGTGGAAATATGGTCAAAGAGTCTGTCAGCTGAACATGATGGGAAATCATATGTGGACCTTCTTCAGGCATGTTTTCTTTTAAGGGTTTATTAGATACCAGATTATGTTGAAGGAAATTTGATTTTTATTTTTATTTTTATTCTTTTTTGAAGGATTTAATGGAAAAGACTATTGTCTTTGCTTTGGCAACTGGGCAAAAGAGATTCAGTGCTTCTTTGTGCAAACTAGTTGAGAAATATGCTGAAATATTAGCAAGTCAAGGGCTTTTAACTACAGCAATGGAGTACTTGAAGCTTTTAGGGACTGAAGAATTGTCTCCTGAAGTTGCGATCTTGCGAGATCGTATTTCTCTTTCCACTGAATCCGGTTTTTCCCCACCTTCTGAGAGCTCGTTTTATGTTGCCTTCAACATTTGGATCCAAACAATGATAATTTAAATTATTTTGCAGAAAAAGAGGTTGAGAAGCCTGTGGCTTACGAGAACTCTCAGTCACTAACAGGGCTTGCATATAATACTGTTGATCAATTGAGTTATGGCGTTGCTGATACCTCTCAACATTATTATCAGGTAAATATTCCTGTTCTGCAAAATATTTTGGTCATGCAACTTTTGAAGAATCTGTGATTTATTTATATTCTTATCATCTCTCAGGAAACAGCACCATCTCCAATGCTGCCAAGTGTTCCCAACAGTCCCTATGGTGAAAATTATCAGCAATCATTTGCTCCTTCAATGGGAAGGGGATACAGTGCTCCTTCCCCATACCAACCTTCTCCACAGAATATACCACAGCCCAACATATTTGTTCCATCCCAGATGCCTCAAGTTCCCACAGTAATTGCCCAAGTGGTTTAATTTTTATTTTCGACATTGAGTTACAGATGATAAGTCAGAGTAGTGTGGCTACCTTAGAATCAGATAGTAATTAAATTAAGATTTCAATTTTCAAAACTTTTGCAGGGAAACTTTCCTCCACCACCTGCTGCTACTCAGCCTGCTTTGAAACCCTTTGTTCCTACAAACCCCCCTCAATTAAGAAATGTTGAGCAATATCAGCAGCCAACGACGTTGGGTTCACAATTATATCCTGTATGTTACCCTTTTTCTGTTAATCATCTTCTCATACATGATATCATGTCTAATTTTATGGTCTCTCTTTCATCTAGGGAGGTGTTAATCCTAGTTATCAAGCTGGAACACCTGGTGTGGCTGCATATGGTGCTAACACATCTCAGGCTGTCCTAACTCCAGGACAAAAGATGCACCAGATTGCGGCTGCTCCTCCCTCATCTAGAGGATTCATGCCCGTTACTAATTCAGGGGTTGAAAGACCTGCAATGAATCCAGTACAACCACCTAGTCCTACTCAGTCTGTTCCAGTACATCATCCTGTAGCTCCTGCTGCACCCCCACCAACAGTTCAAACTGTTGATACTTCGAATGTACCTGGTAAACTTCTGCTTTTGTTTCATCTGTTTTGTATTCAGAAAATAATTTTTAAAGGAGCTGGTAGCTCTGTATTTTGGTTTATCTGCTTTTGATCTGACAAAATACTTCTATGCAAGGTCATCTCTTTCGAAAGGCCAAAGAAAATAATAATTAACAAATTAAATGACAAAGCACTTACAGTGATTTTTGTTCACATTACCCTGCATTATTACATGAGTTGTTATAGACCTTAAATCTGAATTTAATCGAACATTTGTCCAACTTTCGGTACATTGAATATCTAATATATCTAGGGATAAACACACTCAGGATGATTTGAAGTTAGCGTATTTTTTTTTCATGAACTTCTCCTTATTAAATTAATAATTAATAGATTGGTATTTTTAATTTTGTGATACATACTAATTACTATTACGTTATTGAGGGTTGAAGTAGTTCGATTTCTCTACAAATCCCATAGTCTTAGACTAGATATATTACCGTAGTACTATTTGTTACCTAACATTTAATTGTTCCTGCAATTTTAATGTTCTTACAGAACTGAAAAGAAATAAATTAAAATTGAGGAATTTCAGTGAATCTTTTTGGCTACCTAACATAGTAGCTTCTTTGCTGTTGTATGTTACAGCACAGCAGAAGCCTGTTATTGCAACTTTAACAAGACTTTTCAACGAGACATCCGAAGCATTGGGAGGTTCACGAGCTAATCCAGCAAAGAAGCGGGAAATTGAGGACAACTCGAAGAAGTTAGGTGCCTTGTTTGCGAAGCTCAATAGTGGAGACATTTCTAAAAATGCTGCCGAAAGGCTTGTACAACTCTGTCAAGCATTGGACAACGGCGATTTTAGCACTGCCCTTCAGATCCAGGCACCTGCAAAACCTTCGAGAAGTTTTTCTTACTTTTTCATTTCTTTTCACTTCCCCTTGCGTAATCCTTGTTAACTTGTGTCATGTTAATTGTTGTATAGGTACTTCTCACTACTAGCGATTGGGATGAATGCAACTTCTGGCTGGCAACTCTCAAACGAATGATCAAGACAAGGCAGAACTCGAGATAAATTCGTAGCCCTGCTCCGCTGCAAACGTTTAGATTCTGATTTGTCAATCCTTTTAGTTGTGGAATTATGTCAACAAATTGACCCTGAGTACACAAGAAATGACATCTTGAGATACCATGCTGGGTATTTGTTTCATTTTTATGCTAGTTCTTTGGCCCCCCATGATCTCTTTTGGCTTTGAAGTCGTGGATTTTCAAGAGCAGTTGAAGACAAGATCCAAGGACATCAATAGACGCTGCTGATTGTTTTTCACATAATATATGTAGGCCTGAAATATAGATATGTTCTGATAGACTATGTTCGGTTGTAGCTTTTTCCAGAGTGAATTTTACATGTGTTGAATTGTACGGCCGACCAAAACATAGATTATCCTTTTGTCATTGATTAAACAATAAATTTTTTATTGGGTTTCTTGATATGATGGTTCAACATTATGATAAAACTGTTCATTGTATATTGGCATGTTTACTAAGGCAGCGATGAAGTTTTCTCGCACTCAAAGCTCTTAGGCAGAGGCAGCCATGGCTTTCTTTACAAAGGTGTTCGTTTTGGTGAGGCCATCAAGTTGGTCACAACTTATTTGCTGAAAATGAAGACATTTTATCAAAGCTCCAGATCCCCAGTTAAGTCAATCTTGTTGGATTCCCCAAGATTCCTATGACTTGTCGAGTTCATGAGCAAGGGTCTATTAAGGATACAAGAATGAACTGAGCGAAACGAGCTGCACACAAAGATTACGAATTGCTTCAGAATAGGGGACAATCTATTTAGGATACAAGAATGAGTAACAGCAGAATTTACATAATCTTCTGAGTCATGGAAGAAGGGGGCTCTCTTTATTGAGAATCGGTTCCACAGTTTTCAAATCCAGATTTGAAACGAGAGATCAGCCGATTCCAGATAGAGAAACTGGGCATGAGGAATTTTACCCGAGTCGATTTTCTGGACCCTTCTCTAATAAATTCCAAGTCCCAGGCAAAATCATAACGAACACTCTGTGGGGTATCAAGAAGAGGCAATGCAATACTCCCCTGTGACTCCAGGTATTGTATCCACCCTCGTAGTAAAAAATTCACAACCTGTTCACATAAACAAGAGTCAGACGAAAAGAACACCGGAATACAACTGCATGGAGTAGAACTAGATTTGGCGATACCAAGGATAAGGCCACCATAAACCTTGTGGCCGATAACTGGAAAAGCCATGAGCATACAAGAATCGAGTTTTTGTATGAGTGCAAATCTCCCACTTTCTTGTGCAGAGACAAGAATGCATTTTGATAGTATGTGGAACATCTTTCATTTTGAAAGTACAGAGCCAGACGTGAGAAAATAGTATATTTGCTGTTATTGTTTCCTAGTTCAATTATCTATTTGTGCATTGAAATCTTGTTAATTTTATCAATCAACTCATCCAACGACAAAGTATGCCTTCACATGTCAAATAACAGCTTTCAAGATCTTCCACTTGGAATATATGACTTGAATGGAAGGCTCAAACACCAGCAGAAAACCAAAATTTAGACTGGAGCAGGGCAGTGTAAAGACCAATTCCAGACCAAAAAATTCTTTATTTTCTAATTACGCAGACAGAATCTGCAGTTAATAACATAATTCTAATTCATTGGTGTCAAGTTGCATACCTCCGGAACTTCATCATGAGGGCAGTGACCAGCAGGGCTAATCTCATAATATGGTGCTTCTGGCACTTGCCGTTTCACCTGTAAGCCCCAGATTGGCTTCACCCAAGGATCTTCCTTCCCGTACAACAGACAAATAGGTAAATTGTTCATTCGACACCTGTAATGGAAAGCAAGCTGCAAATCCTTAATTTGAGAAAGAATACATGGATTTCAAATAAATTTGTGTTGCAATTTGATCTCTTGCTGTCCATACCTAGACAAAGCCTCATTGAAGGATAATTGACCCTGAGGAGCAAACAGAATCGAGGCAAACGAGGCAGCAGCTGCAGGATGCTGTGTTGTCTCGATTATACGAGAAAATACCTTATCAACCTTAGTCGCATGATCTACATAGACTTGGTCAAGTATTTGCTCAATACTTCTAGGATTACTAATTTTCTGCCATCTAGAATGAAATAACAGGACCAAAATAAGCAAGTTTGCAACATAATTGGCAAGCCAAGCCAATGGGTTTTGAGAGGTAAGTCCATAATGATGTTTGAAGAACATTAGGAGGAAAAGAGAAAAACCGAACCTCAACAGTACCTCAACATTCCATAAGTCAATTTTCATTTGACAAATAAATTTTCAACTTCAGTTTCCAAAACTCTTTTTTAGAAGGATGTCTAGTCATCAGCAAATAGAAACATATCCAGAATTAAAAAATGGAAGTCACATATAGCTGATGTTAATAAACAAAGTTTTCACAATTAATAAGATACTGAAGTCATAATATACCTTTAATAATTTAATGAATATTAAAATACTTGATCTAAAAGTTTATGTATCAAGGCTAGAGGTTCCATCTAACAAGGTCAACATTGTTAAGAGAAATAGCCAAACCTTATAAGTTATTTATTTATTTCATCTATCTTCGATGAGATTTTTATCCTTGCCATGCCCTGTAAGATTGTGGTTCATTTGAGAACACAAATTATAAAATTCATGTACTCATTCGAGTCTTGGATTAAATTTCTTGTTTGAGCTTAATGGACTATGATACTATCTTGGACTACTTGATCTAATATTAGAGCAATGAAAAGTTCTAGGTTCAAGTCTTTTCATCATCCATTTATTAAAAGTTGTAAGGTTTTAATTTGAAAATATGAATTCTGCCTACACGTGAGGGAACATGTTGAAGATGAGATTTAAATGATATACAATTGACACTCTCTAACCGTTTAAGTTTGTAGATCAAGTGGTTCAACAATAATAGAGATACGATGAGTCATTTTTCAAAGATGTCGATTCAAGGGGACTTTAAATTCTAAAAGAAGAAATCAAAATACTCAATGCGTGGTCAGAACTTACAGAATTTCTGTTAGCTTTCTGACTATTGAAGGAAGAGGAAATGTCCCAGCCCATGGAAATAGTCTTGATAATCTTGGATATCTGACAGGATTTGGGAAGAATCCCCAAAAGGGAGTTGCATTGAGCAAGGTTACACCTTTCACCAACTGAGGGTAGCATGCTGCAAAATAGATTGCAACAAACCCTCCAAGCGAATTTCCCACAAGATAGACTGGTTCTTTTATAACCTGCACCATAAGCATATTATACTTTGTTAATTTCTGTACCGTTTGTTCAATAATTATATTCTTTCAAGATATATATTTTCTGTGAAAAAAATATAATATAAAATCTTCGACACTGAGAAGGCAACAATAATCTGGTTCCTTTAACCCAAAGCCGCATTGCCTTATAAGCATGGTAAAAGGATCACAGTTTCTGTTCATAGCTGGATAAGTCCCAAGCATGCAAGATAGAATAATGAAAATAAGTATTGCAATAAACTGGTATTGACAAATAAGACCATAACACAATGAAAACTCTTACAGTTCTGAAACAACAATATAGGTGTTACTTCCGAGCGAAACTAGAAGTATTTTAAAGTTAACATCTACAAAGTGATCAGTTGAACAGTGAAAATAGCCAATTGAGATGAAATTGAAACATGAAATATGACTCGATTCATTTATTCGTAAAAGGATCACAGTTTCTGTTCATAGCTCGATAAGTCCCAAGCATGCAGGAGAGAATAATGAAAATAAGTATTGCAATAAACTGGTATTGACAAATAAGGCCATAACACAATGAAAACTCTTACAGTTCTAAAACAACAATATAGGTGTTACTTCCGAGCGAAGCTAGAAGTATTTTAAAGTTAACATCTACAAAGCGATCAGTTGAACAGTGAAAATAGCCAATTGAGATGAAATTGAAACATGAAATATGACTCGATTCATTTATTCGTAAAAGGATCACAGTTTCTGTTCATAGCTGGATAAGTCCCAAGCATGCAAGATAGAATAATGAAAATAAGTATTGCAATAAACTGGTATTGACAAATAAGAGAAAAAAAACGGAAAATGCAAATCACACTAATAATTTCTATTCAACTGACCACACCCTGACACAAAGATTCGACCTCTAACAATTCACTATGTTAAAGTAGGAATATAAAAGGATCACATCAAAGCAAGTTTTGGAATGAATATTTGCAGATGATCCTCTTAATAGATTTACCTTTTTCTTTTATTACAAAAATAAAATTACAAACGGTCAGAGTTATTCAGAGTAGTGCGACCATTGATATCTCAAAAATTGCACGAGAACCCCCAACTGTTTAAAGTTATCAGTTCCAAAGCTGGGTAAATTAATAAATTCACCATTATATATGATAAAAGATATGGAAGTCAACTAAGACGATACCATAACCACGCAACAGTATCACGGAAACATGAACATGAAGCTAGATTTTATTAACAAATGTGAGAAACCCATTCAAAGTAAAAACGAAAACACAATATGCATACTAAAGAAGATCACAAGACAACTCTACAAGTTGTCCTCATGTATTCAGAGCACCCAAATATCATAACAAAGAAATTCAATCATAAAAAATCATGCTACCTCTTCTATGAAGTAGCTCACTTGGTCCCTCCACAAGTCGACAGAATAAACAAGTTCCTCTGCCCAAGTTTCAGTTTCATCTCCAAAACCCCAGATGATATCCTGTCTATCTGATTCAAGTTTATCTCCACCATTGGATCCAAAAGTTGGATCTTCACATGGCAATGACATGCCCTGACCAAGAAAATCAATAGCCCAGGCTCTGAAATCACGACCAAGATCCTTTAGCTGCTTTTCATAATGAAAGGAGCCGACGCCAAACCCAGGAAGGAAGAGCAAAGGTGGGGAATCAACATTTTCTGAACCTGATTTTTCATAATGGACAGTCAGTTTGGGCTTCCATTCTGAGGAAGAGCTGCTAATAGGAGCTACATAATCACCGTTGGATTCATCTGGCAAACTAGGAATCAAGACCATAGAAACTGATTTGCCTCTACCAGTCACATTGTTCACACCTTCTTCCCCATCAAGTACAAAAGAGCTATAAGTTTCACCTGAGACTCGTGAATTGATATGTTCATCTCTCTTAAGAACAACCACAGTTCTAGAAGGTTGAGAATTGTTAAGTTTCCTAAAGCTATAATGATGTGGATGAGAATATTGCAAACACTTGCTATCAGATTTAATTGGAACACTAAAGAACCTTGTTTCTCGTGGAAGCTTGAGTTGATGCAAGCTTGGGCTTTTCTTGACCACTTTTCTTCTAATATTTACAATATAACAGCAGCTGCCAGCATCACAAGAAAGAATTTCCATCCCTGAAATTAGCAACAAGAATGAATTATCTAGCAACAATTATCTATATCCCATTTCACAAAGACTTAAAAAGTTCTAAAGAAACTGACTCAACCTTAATGTGAGAAACTAGCTCCCGGTACTTCATTATTCAGAAACTGAAATTTGCTGAATGAAAGGGCAACTCACTTCTTCATTTTCTTTTCCATTTTATCCTGTTTATTTTCAAAAATAATTAATCTAATGAATTCTTTAATATCCCCAATTTCATTTTCTTAATTTTTCAGTATTCAAGAGCAGTCAATTTACGAGTTCTATACAATAATTATCAAAAAGATATAAGCCTAAATCACCACAATTCCTAAACACCACTTGCTCCAACCATTTTACTTGAACTTTTCAATTTATGCAGGTTTACATATGAATAAACAACTTATGAGCTAACTAAATAATTACTTCACCATTGATTTTGATATTTCCGTTTTAATAAGGCAAACCTGCTGCTACTTTAACCAAGTCGACCGTAGCCCTCAACCTTCCATAATCAAACAACTTCTTGTTACTGTAGGATTGCATGGTAATAATACGTGCATAAATACATACTTATATTCACATAATAAATCATGGATAAGATATACAACAATATGTGCAAGACTTATGAAAGAAAGCTAATGTACATAATTTTTGCATTCCAAGGTTATTTGCTCTGACCACCTAGAGGGACAGTTGTCTGATCAACCAGCATACTCCCAACACAACCTTGCCAACTGACCATGTGGCTAGTTGGCCATTTAACCTAACCCTCATAGCTCAAATTTTTGGATGGAGTGACCATCCCCAACTCCACCCGACCTGCTTGATGCGGAGCTCCTACCTACTTGTTAAGTTGATGACTGGCTAATCTTCCCCGGCTTCACCAATCACGCTGGATGAAGAGCTCCCTCTTACTGTGGCAAATATCAGGATGAACAGCTCTACTGGACTTCTGATGTGGAATTTTCTCCTACCTGCCCAAAAGATAATGAGCTGTCCATACATAGATCCACAAAAACCATTGATATCCTCCTACCCTTCCAGCCGATAATGGACTGATCGTCCAAAACCATTCACTGAAAGACAGGCTGACCATCCAAAGATCCACCTCGCCTGTTAGGTGAGGAGATCCCACTTCTTGTCTAGCTGATGATAGGTTGACATCCATAATGTCAAAATAAGCAAAGCATACAAAGTTCCCACCAAAATTGCTTAACCAGAAGCTATGTCCAACCAACCCGACCGATGATGGACTGACTATTTATAGCTCCACTAGAAGTGATCCCTCTTTCCGTCCAATGGATAATATCCTCATCAGCCATAAATCATTGCAGAATAACCCAGAACTCAAATGTCTAGTCTACTCCTTCCCAACCCATACTGAAATAACAAGACAACTTCCTTAACGAGACTTAATAATGAAGTTAGTAACTAAGCCACACCGCAGAGTGGAGTGTGACCTCTAAAGAAATCTCAACAAAGTGGAGCGCTGGAGAAATGAGGATGATCGACCATCAACCATGTGTCAGAGTTAGACCATGTCCTACCAAGGACGAATTAAGCTGTATAGAAAGGGGAAAAATTCCCTAACAACACATGTTATTCAACACACAGTCTTGTTCAAATTTGGACAGGATATCTTATGGTAGTATTGGCAGAGTGATCAGTTGAAGAAGAGCTCCCAAGATCCTAGTCTTTCGGCTAAAATTTGAAGTATCTCACCCACTAACCAGTGATCCTTACTAAGATTAACAAAACTTGGGTACTTAGAAAACCCAAGAACCCAAATCAGATATATGGAATTGTGTGGACCAGATTTGTAAAAAAAAAAAAAAAAAAAATTGATTACTCCAAGAATTTTATAAACAGATACCTAGATACAAGTTTTTCAGCTAAAATTTCGAAGTATCTCACCCACTAACCAATAATCCTTACTAAAATTAACAAAATTTATCAAACCCAAGACCTCAGATAAAAATATGGAATTGTGCGGACCAGGTTTATAAAAAGAATAAATTGACTACTCCAAGAAATTAACAAACAGATAAGAAAGGTCCACAATAAGGTTAATCTTTTTTTTTCTTGGGAGTCAGGTAGCTTTAATAATTAATCATTAACAACATATTCAATTTGAACATTTATATACTACATATTTCATATACATACATATATAGTTCTTGAGAGTGTGTTGACGGGAAATATATATTACCTTTAATTAGCAGGGCAAGACGTCATTGACCTCCGAGACTTGGGGAGAGTGGCTACAGCTATTGAATAACAAAGGGACGCTCTTTTTTCTTTGCTTTGGTAGAAAAAAGAATAGATATTCTACAGAACTCCAGAGAGAGAGCGAGAGAGAGAGTATATCTTGGATTGCTGAAAAATACGGTGAAGCTGTTTGTTTTCTAAAACACACAGAACAATTTAACTGCAATAACTGTAACTGTTGGTATCAAGCCAGAATTTGGTGCCCTTTATCCACCAATTCTTTAATGTGGCCACATAATTATTTTTTAGTTATATCAATTCCTCATTGTGCAATGAATTATTTCTAGCTCGATAATACTTTCAGTGTTAAATTTGATGTTGAATGTACAGATTAAAAGCATATTTTGAAAGTAATTATAAACTATTTAAATTATAAATAGATGAAAATAGATAATGAATAAGTAAGTAGTATTACTATATTTAATTGATAAACATGAACCAAATATAGGCTAAGTCCCAGTTCGGTAACACCATTATTTCAAAATTCTATTTTTCATACTCATTTTCAATCACACATTCTCATAATAAAATATTTTTCATGTAAACCTTAAACTTTTTTCTACTTTTAACCACACATTGATAAAAAAGTTGCTATTCAAAAATTCTTTCTTTTTAAAAAAATTATGTTTAACAAGGGCTAAAACTACTCAAACCAATTATTACATGAATTAAACCAAAAATAGCAGCATCGCTATTCATAGCAGTAAGCAACTTGCGATTATGTAAACAATAATAAAGATTTCAATAAATCATTGCTCGATCGAGCATTATTGTCATTTGAGAGAGTTAGATAAGACTAAGTATTTCTAAATACAAACACCTCACATGTTTTACTGCCTTAATCTTGAATTGTCTTATCCAATCTAACATACCAAATATGACACAGAGTATTTACATTTACAAGTATACCAACAATTGGCTTCTCAGAATCAAGGGGAAGAGAACGAACATAAGAACGTGTCTTTGCTAACAATGCTTAAGATTTATAGCTTTTTGTGGGCAAGAAGCTATAAGCCTGCAATCATTTTAGACTCATCTCTGCACCAAGTAGTTTTTCAAGTAAAACCCTCTTAACTTGCATCCATAATTCAATAAATTTGAATTTGATTTTCGTTTAGAAAAAAAAGAGATCTTAACTTGCATCCATAATTCAATAAATTTGAATTTGATTTTCGTTTAGAAAAAAAAGAGAGAAATCAGAGAACTAACAACTTTGGCTAGCATGTCACGTAATGAATCTTGAGAGTACTATTTCTGCATCTCTTTGACCAAATTCGTCCACATTAGGATTATTCATTAATAGTTGATCAAATTAGATGGATTCACCCTCTGAACCAAGAAATTCTAGTTCTAGAAGTATAATGCCCTTGTTTGAGCCCCATTTTGAGGGGAAAAATGAATTTTTAAATAGTGTATTGATGGAAAATGCGTGGTCAAAAAATAAGGAAAAATTTTGGATTTACGTGTAATATCATTTTATTGAAGAATGTGTGATTGAAATAATACCAAAATGCTGTAGAAGAATTTATTTTTTCTAAAGAATGGGGATCAAATAAGGGCATTAATATAAACAAATTGATGTCCATTCGAAGGAATTTTTTATGATTGTATCGTAGCCCCTATTTCATTAGGAGAAAAATCTAAGGGTGGCAAACATGCAAAGAGGTTGCAGGCTCGGCTCAATTTATGAGCTGCTCAAGCTTATTTTGAGATGATATATGAGCCAGTCTAGCTCACATTTTTTTTTTTTCATGAGCCAGCCGGCTTATTTTTTATTCCTCATTTTCGGCTTACTTTATTAATATATTGAAAAAGTTGCTCATTTAGTTAATTTAATTTTTTTCAAAACGAGCCGACTTGATTTGTTTACTTGTGAGGCACACACTCCAAATAGCCGAGCCGATCATATAATTTGAACTCGAGCCAAGACCGAGCTCTACGATAGAATCAATCCATTACCTCCACCAGATAAAGCACAAAATGATGCCACAACAGCCAAAAAACATAAACAAGAGACCATCACCATGCCCAAGAAGTTAAGATTCTTACCCTTTTTTCATATTATTCTCTGCTTAAAGTAACGAAAGCATCATTCTTCGTTAACAGTAAACAAATCCCACCATTATTATAAAATTTGTAATTTACCTGAATAAATAATCTTGTCACCTTCACAGTTCGGACAAAATGGCGGCCCAAACCCTAAGCCCACTCCATCGCCCGCTCCACCATCTCAAACCCAAAACCGTAGGTACCCAGACCTTAACTGCAAAACTCAAGTGTAGCCGTATTATCATTACCTCCAAGATCCGAGCGGCCGTGATCGGCGGAGGTCCTGCTGGATCCTCCGCCGCCGAGGCCTTGGCTACCGGCGGAATCGAGACATTTCTCTTTGAGCGCAGTCCTGAAGCCGCCAAGCCATGCGGTGGCGCCATCCCTCTCTGCATGCTCGATGAATTCTCCATCCCACATCACCTCATTGACCGGAGAGTCACCCACATGAAAATCATTTCTCCCTCGAATCTTACCGTTGATTTTGGCAAAACCCTGAAGTCCCACGAGTTCATTCCCATGCTCCGCCGTGAAGTACTGGATAATTTCCTCCGCCTCCGCGCCGAGAGACTTGGCGCCAACCCTATCAAAGCCCTCGTCACTCATATAGACGTCCCAACCTCAAATAATTCGCCCTATATTATTCATTATATATTAAACAACACCCAAAACACCCTCGCCGTCGATGTGATTGTCGGGGCCGACGGCGCCAATAGCCGTGTGGCAAAAGCCATAAAAGCGGGAACATACAGATGCGCCATCGCCTTTCAGGAGAGGATCAAATTACCCGACGGAAAAATGGCTTATTACGAAAATCTCGCCGAAATGTACATCGGTAACGACGTATCACCCGATTTTTACGCCTGGGTTTTTCCCAAGTGCGACCACGTCGCGGTCGGCACCGGAACTGTGTGCTCAAAAGAGAACATCAAAACGCTACAGCGTGGTATCAGAGCAAGAGTGAATTCAAAAATCAGAGGTGGAACTATTATCAAAGTCGAGGCCCATCCAATACCCGAGCATCCACGTCCAATCCGGGTTCGTAACCGGGTTGCTCTAGTCGGAGACGCAGCAGGGTACGTGACAAAATGTTCTGGCGAGGGGATATATTTCGCTGCCAAGAGCGGACGAATGTGCGGGGAGGCAATCGTGAGAGCCTCAGAATCCGGTAACAGGATGATCAGTGAAGAGGATTTGAAAAGGGAGTATTTGAGAAAATGGGATGATGAGTATATAACTACGTTCAGATTCTTGGACTTGTTGCAGAAAGTGTTTTACGGGAGCAATGCAGGGAGGGAGGCATTGGTGGAACTGTGTGGGAACGAGTATGTGCAGAGGATGACATTCGAGAGCTATTTGTACAAGAAATTGGCAGATGGGAATAGGTGGGAGGATTTGAAGATGGTGATGAATACAATTGGTAGCTTGATTAGGTGTAATGTTGTTGGGAGGGAAATGGATGAATTTGATAAACGAATTCTTGCTCAAATCTAGATTGCCATTTTGTATTATTTGGCAAATGATTTCTTGCAAAATTGTGGTGTTGTCTTCTCCTTCCTGGTTTGTTGTAAGCTGATTCATCAATCATAAGAAATCATTAACTTGAAAACATGAGCAAAAAATCCATTCATGAGTGTTCCATATGTTCTGTGGAAAATGAATATTAGAATTTCCAAATGCATCAGACAATAGAATTTCCAAATCCATTCATGAGTGTTGTCAGTATGAAGTTTTTCACTGCGTTTGATTGTAAACATGAAATTTGCATGTAAAGAAAATAAATTCTAGATAATTCAATTCTCAAGAATTTATTTGTATGAAAATTGTCAATTAAATGTATTTGATTGATTTAATTTTCAACCTAAAAAATATTATACTTGTAGAGGAAGAGAGAGTAAATTTTCTGAAAAATAAAATCATACACCCCTTAAAGAAAATATTTTCCTTGATTTTGAGGAAAATATGGTCACATGATCAAAAGTAGGAAAATATTTTTCATGGAAAAAATGGTAATCAAACAGTACAAAAATAGGAATTTGGGTGAAAAAACACATTTTCCATGGAAAATAGTGGCAAAAAGAACAGAATGGGACTCGTTGTTGCGTTTTTCTATTGCAAGTGTACGATATCGAACAAGTAATATAATGGACATTTGAATCCGAATAATCTTCCTACAGGCTATTATTTACTCCTAGCTTACTATTTTCAGTTTATTTGACAAAAAACAATGTATGATTTGTGATTGTTGATCTACATTATACTAACTAATTGAATGTTATCGAATACACACAAAAATCAAATTAGGCTTTTAAATATGGAGATATTAGGGCATCCAATTTCATTTATCGATCACCTTTAATTCTCTAATCAAGATTTATAATATAACGTAGTGTTCAATCGAATTCATCTAACACATTCAATTTATCCCTCTCGAATTCAAATTGATTATATTTAATTAAGTCAATTCCGTATCTTTATGTGAATCCGGATATACTTTTAGTTAAACGCCTTAGATCCCTAAAGAATCCATGTAATGAACACATTAACTGGAAAATATATTTCTATGTTTCTATACTAATTCTCGAATTTTACTACATGATCTAAACCTAAAACTCACCTCTCAACTCGCAATAGAATCACAAGATCAATGAATTATTTGCCTACTAATTCAAGCATTAAACACTATAAATAAACTCGACACGTGGAATTGAGAACTAGAATCTTGAAAATTGAATTAAAGGGTTTTAGATAAACTAAATTGTTCTTCCTCACAAAAATTTTAGTTACTCATATTGCATGAAGAGAAACAACAAATGATATTTGAGTACGTCATTGAGTTTTGAACTAAGATATAGAGAAGTTCATGAATCTTGCACCAAGATACTCTTTTTGCCCCCAAATTAATGCTTCAAACTCATGATTTCTTGTTTTTCTTCCAAATGTTTCTCTCCAATTCTCAAGTCATGGAATCATTTTTTCATAGGTAAATGTTATATGTACATCAGGACATTCATATCGGTGTTCTCTCCCCTCACATGGAGAGGGACACACCACTTCTAATTTTATTCGAAGTGAGTTCCCTTCCATGTGAGATGGTGGACATCAGTATGACACCGCATTATGTGCAAGAAGCATATTCATTTTTTCATTTCCCTTTTGGCCTTCATATAGTATTATACCTTTTAGAAGAGTTTCTATCCAAAATAAACTTAAAATGAAGAAAATAAAATAAAAATAAAGATTAAAAACGCACAAAATCTTCCAACAGGATCGGTGCCTGCTCGCCTATTTTAATTCCAACTAGGATTTTAAAAAATTTCAAGTCTCCTGGAGTATCAAATTTTCCGCCAGAACAGTTGGTATGTCAATGAAAGTTTCAAAGTGTTATCTTTGAAGAATTTCAAGTTTCTCATGTTGGAAAAGATGAATTGAAGGGATAAATTTGACATGATTATTAAGTGGGACCTGGTTTTCTTCAACTGACTTTTTAGCTTTTGAAATTGTTTGAAACTCCAATGGTTATTATCATTATAATATTGAGTTAATGGACAAATTTAGTCCCCATTTATGGCGGCCAAAGTCATAATTGAGCTCGTTTTCTATCATTCAATACCAGAAAATTATTCATCATCATTTTTAGTTTCAAATCTCTGTATAATTTTCGATTTCAGCTCTCATAAAAAAATTTCATTTTCGTCTAAGTCTTGGTTGTGCTGTTCTGACGCGAATTCATTTTGCCGATTAGAAATTGAAGTGCTCAGATTCTATTGATTATTCCGTTATATTCTAGGAGACGGACATCCAAGCTAAACTTCAATCACCTACGGTAAAGGGGCGAATTAATTTTAAGGAAACTGTATACACACAGGCATCAAGTTGCTGATTTACAATATTCTTTAAAAAACAAATACATCTTTGTAGTTTTATTCTCTTTTTATTTACGTTCTTGTTGTATCAAAAAATAAAATAAAATCATATTATTCTATAATTTTATTATTGTAACCGGCAAGTATGGTTCTACCATGACCTATGTTTCAAAATTTTCATCTCTCCTTGGAAGATTAGTAAGCCCATCAGGTCATTTGCATTGTTCAAGCAGCTCTATGTAAAGTTTTGCCCAGTTTCATGGTGCTTCTCTTTTTGGTGATGCTTGATTTTAAGCCTCAAAACTTGGGGCTGTTTCGACTTTGTTACAAGTTCTGATTAGTTCGGCTAGTCAGGATTATGGGTCAGCTTGTTCCAAATGTTCTTCCGGCCAGCAGGGTGCTTGGTTTGGTATCTTTCAATATTTAAAACCTCTTCGAAGGTTTGGAATCCGGCCAGCAGGCAAGCAGCCTGCCTGTCCAACTGTTAGTTTCTTGGCAAAACTCGAATTCAGGCGGCAGGATTTTTGTATTGTTCATATAGATTCAACTGTGTACTTTATGTTGGGATTAGACCGATTGTAACGTTAATTTTGTAAGCCCGGGGATGCTGGATTAATTGTACTCTAATTTTTTATCCCGATCAGAAAAAAAAAAAAAAAGGAGGAAGAAGCACAAATAAGTGTAAAATACACAAATCACTCGCCATGTAAAATAGGACTTGCAATATGGTGTTTTGGATGCGTCTCCACATGTTTATAGGTGCCCCTGAAGAACGTAAAAATGCTGTTATGCGCCGTCCAGGTGGTGGAAGTGTTTGTGGAAACTTGAAATCCTCTCAGACTTGTATCTTCGTCTGGATTGTGTTCCATGACGCTATCGTTTGTCTTGCAAATCTGGTATACCAAAAATCTGGGATTGACATCAGGTTTGCAAGATGCGGTTTGGAGGAAACTAGCAGTCATATTCTATTTAATCGTGCTTTCATGAGGTTGACATGGTACCAATTGATATAGCATTGGTTGAACTACGTAAAGAGAATCAGAATGGACAATTGTTAGGTCTGGTCTGGTGGCTGCTATGGTGAGACAGAAACCAACTTCA